TTGCAAAGCTTTAAAACAAGACAAAACATCCTGTCCAGCTTTTCCTGCTAAAAGAATATCATCCATATAATGGATAATATAGATTTCTTTCCAGGTGTCTCTAACAGGTTGAATAGCTAAGGCAACAAAAGATTGGCACAAGGTTGGACTATTGGCCATGCCTTGAGGTAACACTTTCCAGTGATATCTTTTCATAGGTTCCTTAAAATTGGTAGAGGGCACACTGAAAGCAAAACGTTTTTGATCATCTGGATGTAATGGAATGGTAAAGAAACAGTCTTTTAAATCAATAACAATCTTATAGTAATTTAAGGGTATGGCAACGGGAGAAGGGAGCCCGGGTTGTAGGGCCCCCATGAGGACCATGGATTTATTGACTTCTCTAAGATCTTGTAGCAATCGCCATTTTCCTGACTTTTTCCTTATAACGAAAATTGGTGTGTTCCAAAGAGAATTGCTAGGTTCTATATGCCCTGCTTGCAACTGTTCCTGTACCAGTTGTTGTGCGGCAGCTAATGTTTCTAAGGAGAGGGGCCATTGGTCAACCCATATGGGGTTGTCTGACAACCAGGTAATTTTGTCTGCATGGGCTACGGGACAGACCGCGGCCCCTATTGAAAATGTCCTCTTCCTGTCCTATCTGTTTTTGATTTAGTTTCTATAGGGCTTAAGATTCCAGTGTGGTTCTTTCCTAACCCAGTACCGGGCACGTATCCGTGTTTAAGCATCTGGGCGGCAATGATCTCATTAGGGCTACCTATGACCATACCTATCTGAGCTAGCAAATCCCTTCCCCAAAGGATGAAGGGTAGGCCCGCAACAATATAGGGTTGGATTTGGCCTTGATTTCCTTTCTTATCTTCCCATTTTAGCATTTTTGTACTTTTCTCGGGATTCTTACTCTGCCCAATACCGGTGAGATGAGTAATAGCACTTATTGGCCATGTGACAGGCCACTGGGTTTTGCTAATTATGGTCACATCTGCTCCGGTATCCACTAGCCCAGTAAACTCCTTTCCATCTAGCCATAATGTCATCATGGGCTTGTTAGGAGATATCGCTTCTGCCCAATAGACGTCAGAGGAACCAAAGCCTAAGTTACCTCTGCCCCTTTATACAATTCTATTACTGGTTTTACAAAGAGGTAAAAGCAAGAGCTGTGCAAATCTCTGTCCAGGGGAGACAGTACTCATGACCTTAGGAGAGGTTGCCATAATTTTGATCTCTCCTGTGTAATCATTATCTATTACTCCGGGGAGGACTTGCAGGCCTTGTAGAGTGAGGCCATTTCGCCCTAGAATAAGTCCAAAAGAACGTTCAGGCAGGGGCCCAAAGATGCCTGTAGGCAATGCCTGAACCCCCATTTCAGGTGTTAGTACTGTGTGGGAGGTGGAACAGAGGTCCAATCCTGCACTTCCTGTTGTGGCTCGGCAGAGGCTTGAAACGGATTGTTGATTGGAGGAACAAAGCTGACTGCCCCATAGATTTGTTTTTGCTTGGGGGCCTGGGTCTGGCCCTTCATCCCGTTTCCCTGATGTGGGGAGAGTGGTTGCCCTTGGGCATCTCTTTTCAATTTACATTCATTTGCCCAATGTTTCCCTCTCTTGCATCGGGGACACAAGCCAGGGACTTTAGTATTAAGGGAGAGTTTCCTATCAGCATTACAATCCTTAGCATAGTGACCACTGGCACCACATTGAAAGCACCTATTTTTTGACTGATTAGATAGGAACTGTCTCACAGTGTAGTCCTGTAGGGCTGCAGCCATAGCTAGTCCTTGTTGATAAGCTGAACCTATGTCTGAACACAGACGTATATACCCTGAGAGGTCTGTTTTCTTCTTATAAGGGTGGATAGCCGCTTGGCAGGCAGCATTGGCATTCTCAAATGCCATTTGTTTAACAAAATCTGTGCCCGCATCTGCATTGCCTAAAATTCTGCCTGCCGCTGTAATAAGGCGATGTACAAACTCTGAAAAAGGTTCATCTGGCCCTTGTTTTATGCTGGTGAGGGAGGTACTAACATCCCCTTTTGTGGGCAGCTTCCGCCAGGCTTTCGTACCCGCAGTTTGAATTTGGGCGTATAAACCCGCATCATACTGCAATTGCGCGTCGCTGGTAGCATAATTGCCTTCACCAGCTAGCATGTCGAAATTCCAATTATTATTAGCCTATGCGTTGCGGCAGGCAGTTTCCTTACAGCATTCATAAAACTCAGATTTCCACAACAAATAATCACCCCCTGAAAGGGTGGCTCGGGCTAATGTCTGCCAATCCCCTGGGGTAAGCCAATTTTCGGCCACAGATTCTAAAATTGCAGTGGTGTATGGAGCAGTGGCCCCGAATTGTGCCACCGCAGTTTTTAGTTCTTTAATTATTTTAAAATCGAAACCGGCATGATGTCTCCAGGCGGTTCCTTGTTGATCAGTGGTTTCTGTTATGGGGAATGCACTCGGATCATTAAGGTCCAGCAAAGGGTTGGTCTGGGAAGGTTGCTTTAGTGCTGCTCCTCGTCGGGGAGGAATAACGTTTGGGTGTTTTGGGTTTTAGCCTCGTTTCTAGCTTTACCTATCTTTATTTTTTCAAGCTGTTCAATGAGCTCTTGGTGTTCTACCTCAAGCCTTATCTGTTCTTTTAGGGAATTGATTTTCTCTTGTAATTCTTTTTGGGGATCAACAACGGGACATGCTATTGGGGGTGCCGAGGGTCCCGCTCTGTAAGGCGGAGGTCGCAGTCCATAGGGGGGCCAGTCCTGGTTTTTATACCGGGCTGCCTCATCCTCCAAGTCACCCCAGTCTATTCCTTCATCTATGCCCTCGTCTTCTGAATTTTTTGCCCTTACCATTAAACAAGTGGGTCTCTTTTTCTGGCTTAAAGATTTAACTTTAGGTCTATCGGATCCTTGGGTATGCCCTTTAGATCCTCTTTTGGTTTTGTTTTTTTTTTCTAAAGGCAGACTTTGGCTCTCGGAGGGGCACTGTGACCCTCCGGGCGCTCCCTTCTCGGAGTCACTATCAAAAGACATCAGATCCTCTTCCTTATTAACCTGTGGCAATTGCACCTCTTCATTTACAGACAATTGCTTGGAGTCATCTGGACTCTTAGCACTGCCGAAGTTGCTCTTATTGAGTTCCCCTTTTAGGAGAGACTCTCCCTGGGAGATTACATTGGCAATGAGGGGATCATGGCGTCTCTGAGTGAAAATTTCATCTATCAAGTTTCAATAAGAAAAAGCTGTGACTGGGACCTTTTCGGGTCCGAAAGTACTGTAATAATCTTTCAAAGCATCTCCTACCCTTTTCCACCGTTTTTGGTCTATGGTTCCTTCCTGGGGAAACCAAGGGCAGACATCCTGGATATAGTCAAAATATTTACACAATTGTTTTATTTTCACCTTTACTCCTCGCGCCTTTAAAGCCTTACTTAAACTCTCTATAAACAGCTCATGCTGGCTGATTTCCTGTCCCATATTCGCCGTCCGCTTACCGGAGCACGAGTCCGTGGCAGGTTCCCACGACGCTCTTTCCTCCGGGTTTCTCAATCCTTCTGTGCCGGCTGACCTCGACGGCGTCCCTCACCGTACCGCTCGTACTCGAGCCCCATGTTTGGGAGCCAGTCTGTCCCGACCCATGGGACGAGCAACGCAGACCCTAGGGAGGGAGTGGGGATTAAGAGACAGGAGACGCGAAGAATGGAGACAAGTCAAAGATCTGATCAAGTCTCGTTTATTAGGTACAAAGCAGCTGCTTATAAGCAAGCAAAGGCGGGAAGCTCTGAGTTCTGACGTCAGAAAGTAATCATGGAGACGAGGCTGCAGGCTGGCCTCGTGAATAAGAAGAACGTGAAACGTAGATAAGAGAAGCAGAAGCTTGAGCAACAAGATCACAAGACGGCTATCATGATGCTCAAGATGGCCACTGCTCCCTACATAATTCCACTGTTTTTTCCTCCATGATACTGCCCTTAGTATTTTTAAAATGTGTACAGTATTGTCAGCCATTCAAATAAAAGATTAGAGCCATTGATGTAACCCAGCATCTCAGGGTTACATCAGTTAGGATGTTAAGACTTAGCTATATATAAATGTGGGTTTAAAAATATTTCATATGAAAAGCATATTTTAGAAACAGTGAGTCCGATAATAATTAGGAGCCAAGCCCTGTCTCTATCTCGTAAACAAAAGCCAAGATAATCCATTACCAGAAGACAATTTATATGAGAAGTTCTAAAGGGATGCCATCAAGTTGGAGTGAAAGGATCCTAGACAGCAACTTGAAGTCATATGAAAACATAAACACCTTAAGTAAAATTAGGTGAACGATGTAAAACCCACTATTTTTGTAATTTTAATTTTTACTCCACTTTTTATTTTCTACACAGTAACAGGAAAATGCATAAAAATGATTGTAAATCTATGTGAATGGGTACACAATATGTATAGCTGTAATCCATGATACCAGTCACATAACATGAAGGGAGGCAGAAGCTGTGAAGGAATAGAGTTTTTGCATATGATTGAAGTTAGTATCAGTTTTAAATAGAGGGTTATAACTTTAGACTGTAGCATGTAGAATGTTACTTCTTCAAATAAAGAAAATCTCAGTGAGACACACAATGGGAAATGAGAAGAGATTCAAAATGTATCACTACAGAAAAAGGACTCGAAGGTAGTAATGGAGGAAATTAGGGGCAAAAAGGCAATAAGACATTTAAAAAATAACAAAATGCGGCTGGGTGCAGTGGCTGAAGCCTGTAAGCCCAGCACTTTGGGAGGCCGAGGCCGATGGATCACGAGGTCAAGAGATTGAGACCATCCTGGTCAACATGGTGAAACCCCGTCTCTACTAAAAATACAAAACATTAGCTGGGCATGGTGGCGCATGCCTGTAATCCCAGCTACTCAGGAGGCTGAGGCAGGAGAATTGCCTGAACCCAGGAGGCAGAGGTTGCGGTGAGCCGAGATCACGCCATTGCACTCCAGCCTGGGCAACAAGAGCGAAACTCTGTCTCAAAAAATAAATAAATAAATATAAATAAATAAATAATAACAAAATGCTTTTTAAGTAACCTTTTCTAAAAATAACGTGTTTAGTGTAAATGAATGAAACTACTCAACCAAAAGATGTTGATTGGCAAAATCATTGAAAAAACAGTATCCAAGTGTATGTTCTGCACAGGGATTTGCTTAAATCTAATGACATGCATAGATGGAAACTGAAAAAATGAAAAAAGTTATTCTATATAAATAGTAATAAAAAGAGTGCAAGGGTGGCTTTACTAAGGGCTAAGTCAGACTTTTTTTTTTTTGACATGGAGTTTCGTTCCTGTTACCCAGGTCGGAGTGCAATGGCGCAATCTCAGCTCACCGCAACCTCCGCCTCCTGGGTTCAGGCAATTCTCCTGCCTCAGCCTCCCGAGTAGCTGGGATTACAGGCACGCGCCACCATGCCCAGCTAATTTTTTGTATTTTTAGTAGAGACGGGGTTTCACCATGTTGACCAGGATGGTCTCGATCTCTTGACCTCGTGATCCACCCACCTCGGCCTCCCAAAGTGCTGGGATTACAGGCGTGAGCCACCGCACCTGGCTAAGTTAGACTTTCTTTCTTTTTTTTTTTTTTTTGAGACGGAGTTTTGCTCTTGTTTACCCAGGCTGGAGTGCAATGGCGCAATCTTGGCTCACCGCAACCTCCGCCTTCTGGGTTCAGGCAATTCTCCTGCCTCAGCCTCTTGAGTAGCTGGGATTACAGGCACGCACCACTATGCCCAGCTAATTTTTTGTATTTTTAGTAGAGACGGGGTTTCACCATGTTGACCAGGATGGTCTTGATCTCTTGACCTCGTGATCCACCCGCCTCAGCCTCCCAGTAAATTAGACTTAAAGTGAAAAATTGTTAGAAGAGAGCAAGAAGAACATTATACGTTGCCAAAAGGGTTATTTCACCAAGAAGACATAACAGTTATAAACATATGTGCACCAAACATCAGTGCTCCTAATTATATAAAGCAAATACAGACTTGAAAAGAGGAGTAGCTACCTAATAATACAGTGGACTCTGAGCCACATGGATTTGAACTACATAGGTGCACTTATGTGTCAGTTTTTTTCAACCAAACTCAGACTGAAAATACAATATTCATGGGATGTGAAACCCACATATATGGAGGGCCAAGTTTTCATATACATTGGTTCTACCAGGCTGACTGCAAGACTTGAGTTTGTATGCATTTTGATATGCCAAGGTTCTTGGAACCAATCCCCCCTATATAATGAGGGACAATTATACTAGGACACTTCATACCTCACTTTCAAATAGCCAGACCAAAGATAAGAAAAAAAAAAAGTAAGGAAATAGAGGATTTGAAGAACATTATACACAAAATTGACCTAAAAGACTATACAGAATAACCCACATGACAACAGAATATACATTTTCTCATTTGCAGATAGAATATTCTCTAGGATAGACTATATATTAGGCCATCAGTCAAATGTTAATAAAATTTAATTTTTAATATAATAAATATTTTTTCCAATTACAATCTAGATCACAAAAACTAGAAATGATAGCAGCATGAAAAGTGAAAATTCACAACTATGTGGAGAATAAACACATTCTTAAATAACCTATATGTAAGAGTAAATTAGAAGTGAAATTAAAAATATATGGAGACCACTGAAAATGAAAACAATGTGCCAAAATTTATTAGATGTGGTAAAAGCGGTGGTAGGTGGGAAATTTGTACCTGTAAATGCTTATATTAAAGAAATAAGTATCTTTTTTTTTGAGATAGAGTTTCACTCGTTACCCAGGCTGGAATGCAATGGCGCGATCTCGGCTCACCGCAACCTCCGCCTCCTGGGTTCAGGCAGTTCTCCTGCCTCAGCCTCCTGAGTAGCTGGGATTACAGGCACGTGCCACCAGGCCCAGCTAATTTTTGTATTTTTAGTGGAGACGGGGTTTTGCCATGTTGGCCAGGATGGTCTCAATCTCTTGACCTCGTGACCCACCCGTCTCAGCCTTCTGAAGTGCTGGGATTACAGGCTTGAGCCACCACACCCGGCCAAGAAATATGTATCTTAAATTCACAACCTAATTTTATATTCATGAACTCAAAAAGGCAAATAATTTGAACAAGAAAGCTTGCAGGAGGAAAGAAATAATAAAGATTAATGCAATGACGAGTGGAGAATAGAAAAAGAGAAAATCAACCAAACCAAGAGTTAGATTTACTTAAAAAACAAAAAATGTGTGGACATTACTGCAAATTTTAGGGAAATAAAAACGATGTTAATAGAGCACTGTCAACAATTGTATGCTAACAAACTGTACAACCTAGATGAAATAGACAAGTCCCTTAAAATATATACCCTACCAAAACTGAATCATGAAGACAGAACATCTGAGTAGATCTATAACTAGTAAGGAGATTGAATCAGTAAGCCAGAGCTTCCCAACAAAGAAAGTCCAAGCCCAGGTGGCTTCACTGGTTAACTCTCCCATTTAAAAAAAAAAAAAAAAAGTTTATTTTTTTAGTAAACCTTATTTTACTTAGTAGGAATTCTTCCAAACATTTAAGGAACCACAACTTCTCAACCTCTTCCCAAAAATGCAAGAGGAGAGAACACTTCCTAGTTCCTTCTCTGAGACCAGGATTACCATGGTACCAAACCAGACAGACATTACATGAAAATATACACCAACATTCCATATGAATACTGATGCAAGACTCTACCATAAAATACCAGCAAAATTCAGCAACATATTAAAAGGATTATACTCAATGACCAAACATCTATTCCTATAATGCAAATGTAATTTATGATTCAACATACAAATATTGATGTATTATGCTGCATGAACAGATTAAAAGATATAAAAATATAATCCACATGATCATACCAGCAAATGCAGAAATTTCACGAAATTCAGCACCTTTTCATGATTAAAATATCATGCAAATAATTAAAAAGAAACTATCTCAACACAATAAAGGCTATATGTGAAAAATTCCAGAGCTTATTTTCATATTCAATGGTGAAGGACTGAAAGCTTTTCTTCTAATATCAGGAATACAATGAGTTTGCTCCACTTTTCCACATCTAGTCAATATAGTATTGGAAGTTCTAGGCAGAACAATTGGGTAGAAAGGAAATAAACTTGTTAAAATTGGAGACAGAGAAAACTGTGTCTATTAGCTGATGACATGTTCTAATAAATTCTACAGAATACACAAGAAAAAAACTTCTTAGAGCTAACAAAGTGAAAAAGTTATAGGAAAAACACCTATATAGAAAAAGCAGTTATATTTCTACACAAAAACAAAACAACTTGAAAAGGAAAATACTTCTCTTGGCAATAGTATCAAAAAGAAACAATTACTTAGGAACTGTCTTAGCCAAGGACAAGAGAAGCAGTTGGACACTGAGCTCTGCAATATCTTACTGAAGGAAATTCAAGGAGGCACAAATAAATGGAGATATATCCATTTTTAATGAGTTGAGAGAGAAATTACAAGGCAGTGAATACCACCTAAAATGGTCTGCAGCTTCACTGCAATCCTTAATCGCAATGATTTTTCTTTTCAGAAATGGAAAAATCCACCCAAGATTCACTGAAATATCAAGGGATGCTCTCTCCCATGGTCATATCCTAAACCTTGTCATTTCCTAGAAAATACTCTTCGGTAATAATTTGCAGCATGAGTCTGCAACAACTTTCACCTGTATTGCCACCTGAGTCCCATCAGCATTCTTGCATCAATAATCTTAGTACCTCGCCAATACTTACAATCCACTGAGACTATCACCTTTTTGCTCTCTTAACGTCTAATGTCCTCACAGCCAGCCAAGTGCATCTCTTGTCAGGTGAGGACAGCTCACTCCACTTCTGTCTTCCTTCCCAGAATATGTCCCATGAAAATCTCTAGCTAGATGAAGCCAGAGAAAGAGAATATTTGATTTCTTAGGCTTTTTGGAAGAGTGAGGAATGGTAATAGGGGTTTGGAGTGTACCCTGCAAGCACCAGTCAATAGGGTGTATCCTGAATGGATAGTGGGTAAAGGACATTTGTTGTGAAGCTCTGTCCAACTCCACTTCAGGAAAGCCTGCCTTTAATCAGAGTGATGATTTATTAGTGTAATGCTGACCTCCATGTTTTTGAATTATTCTCATACTTTGGAATTAGGGAATTTCTCATTACAAATTATTCTTTAGATACTTTGTGTATAATCATGCTCTTGGTTTCTAAGCACTGCTGTCAGGTTATACAGGGCAGTGAGTGAACAGATCTGTGAAGTATTAACTCTGGGCATTGTGGCGAGTGTAATGGTAAAAGTATTTTAAATGTGTTGTGAGGGAAGGGAATATACCAATTCATGATAGGTGAGTGGGGTATTGGTGTAACAGAAAGAAGGTCCAGCTGCTCACCACTTACAGAAAAAAGCCAAATAACAAAAGGAAGATGGGATAAAAAGGGTGAATTTTATTATCCATTGCTAGCAAGGGAGAGAGTAACTGGAATCTTTTCCAAAAATTGCCACTTTTCAATTTCTGGAGAGAGGACCACAGTTTAAGAAGTTGGCTTGGAATGCAGAGGTAAGTGGGGTTAAGAGGTACCTGACGGCCTGTCTCACTCCCTTGGCTTATCTAGAATGGTTTCCTCTGGTGAAGGGGCCAATGCCATCACACGCTATATCAGGTTATAAATTGATGGCAGTCAATCTTGCAGTTTATCTGTAGCCAGGAGGTTAAGGCTACCTGATCTGCATCAGTATTCTTCCCCTGAAGCTTCTAAGGAAATATATGAGGTGATAAGTGAGCATAGTGTGAGCTTAACAAGCATCCAGGATAAAAAAAAAAACGTGCATAGGACATGGAAGCATAAGGTGGGAAAGGGAAGGGAGTGACGTTTTAAAGCAGATTCAGAGGCTGTATTTGAACACGAAAGAAAACACATCTGTAGTTTGTCTCAAAGCTACGTCTTGAGCCTGGGGAGAAGGGGGAAAGAAAAAGCGGTTTTTAAAATGTACTTTGAAGCTAAGGTGCTACCAAGCTTAGGTAACCATACATAGGCTTCAAAATACTATTAGGCCAACCAGCCCAACCTTGTTTAAACCTGAGTAATGATTCAAATATTATAAAATGCATCACTTTAAAATGTAACCTTTAGTGGTTTTTAGTATATTTCCAAAGTCTTGCAATTGTCACTATTCTCTAATTTCAAGTCTTTTTAATCAGCCCAGAAAGTAGTCCCCTATCCACTGGCAGTCACTCCCAATCCCCATCCTTCTTCCATCAGCTCCTGGCAACCACTATTCTACTTCCTGTTTCTATAGATTTGCCCGTTCTGAATATTTCATGTAAATGAAATCATACAACATGAGCTCTCTTCTGTCTCACACCTCTTAGCCTTAATTTCTCTTAATGTATACTGAGGAGTGAAATTGGGTTATAAGCTGTATTAGTCTGTTTTCACACTACTATAAAGTACTGCCTGAGATTGGGTAATTTACGAAGAAAAGAGGTTTAATTGACTCACAGTTCCAAGGCTTAACAGGAAGTATGACTGGGAGGCCTCAGGAGACTTAGAATCATGGTGGAAGGTGAAGAAGAAAGCACTAGAACAGAAGAGAAAGTGCAAAGACGAAGCGCCACCACTTCCCAACAACCAGATCTCATGAGAATTCACTCACTATCACGAGAACAGCAAGGGGGACGTCCGCCCCCATGATTTAATTGCCTTCCACTAGGCTCCTCACCCAACATGTGAGGATTACAATTTGAGATGAGATTTGGGTGGCAACACAGAGCCAAATCATATCATAATCCCATTTTTTTTGTCAGTCTATTTTGCCAGCATCAGTCTCTTTGGGATGTCCATGCCCTCAGATTCTGCAGTCTTCAGTCTGGGAATGGACTGAGAATAGGGCTCCAAACAGGTGATGAAGAATGCTCCCTGAAATACGTATTACAACACATAGGATGTTGAGTGTGGTGAGATTGCCAATGGCCAGAGAGGAGAGCAGTACCGCCCTTAGATCCAAACAAATGATGTCCATGCTTTAGGCCCTGTGTGTCATGGGCCCATAGTTTTCTGTGCCGCCTTCACATTCTTCTCTGGTATCTGGAACTAATCATGCCTGGCACTGCTATCCAAGTGGAGTACCTTGAGCCCTGATCTTGCGGGATTCCTGGTAGTTTAGCTCAGGTTGGCGTTTCCGGTGAATCCTGGGAAATGTAGTCCATTTTGTGGGAAGTGTAGTCCACTGGCCGGTGGAACACCGGACATTTTGGCTCTGGCAGGCGGACCGGTGAATTCTGGGAACCATACTCCAGACACTCTGAGGTGTCGCCGGCCCTTTGGCTCAGAGGAGCGAGTTTGGGGAATTCTGGGAAGTGGATGCAGTCCAGACACGCTGGCGGAGAGGATACTTCCGGTCTCCGAGCTTGAGGTTCCTACTTTAATGACCAGGGTAGTTTGAGCCATTTCTGCGGCTTAGAGGACATTTTGAACGAGCCCCCTTTGCTTGAGGCTTCCAACTGCCCCATGATCGATGATCGTTTCAGAGGAAAAGAGGCCTTGGCAAAGACTGGAGGTTTGGAGGTGGGAGGGCGGGTAGGGTGTTTATTGTTCCAGTCGGCGGCGCCCTCTGGCGTCGGGGGACGGTGCTCGCGTCCCGGTGGGTGGGATTGGCGGGGCCCTGCATGCCCTGCTCTGAGCGTTTCCAGGACTTTGACCTCGCTCAGTCCGCCTCCCTAGGTGTGCGGCCTCTTTCTCGCAGTGTGACGTGGAATGTTACTTAATGTCCCTGTACTTCCCATTGCTGGTCTTTAAAAGGGTGATTATAGGATCATCCTAATATAATTGTTTTGCCAATTGAGAGAGATAATACAAAAGCCTTAAAGTAGTCCCTGTCACTTGGTGAGTGACTGTCTCTTGTTTCCTGATATTTTAAAACGTTTGATATCATTTCAAAACTATAGAAAAATTGCCAAAACAGTATAAGAAATTCTCATATACTCTTTACCCAAAGTTGCCAAGTGTTTACATTCTTCCTGTTTGTTTTCTTGATGACCATGAACCAAATACCACCGGGAAGATACCTGTAACCAGAGACAGCTGATTGTAGGTTTCTGCAGCAAGGAAGCCCACATACCAGGGTAATTGTGTAGTATCTTGGTAAGAGGCATTTAGGAAGGGCTGGTTATAGGGTTTTACATAACATGCTAAATAATATTGAATATTATATTAAATAATGTTGTTATTGATTACATATCAGATAGATGTGTTATAAGAATACTAGTATTTGTAGTATTAGTGTTGGATAGGATATTACCTAGCATCATGTTATCTAATCTGAAGTTCATATATGAATTTGTTTAATTTTTAATTTAAAGTTCTATGACTGTCCCCTGCCCCCCCTTCACCTGCAGCCCCATTCAAAGTGCAGTTTATGCATTGTCTTTAGCTGTCACATTTCCATAGATGTTCATTTGGAATTTGGTATATTTCACATTTAGGTTCGGATTATGCATTGTTGGTGGGATTCAACAGAAGTGCTGAGATGCCCTTTTCTTTTCCTTTTTTTTTTTGTTTTTTGAGACAGAGTTTCGCTCTTTCACCCAGGCTGTAGTGCAATGGCTCGATGAGATGCCCTTCTCGTTGTAACATAACAAGGTCCAAGTGATGTCTGTTCGTCCCTTCATTGGTGATCTCAGCTTTGTCACTTGGCCAAGAAGATGTCTTTCAGATTTGTCCACTCTTACGTCACCTTTTTTTTTTTAAATTATGAAGTTTCTCATGGGGAAATACATTATTAGTGGGCATTTTCTTATAAAGGAGAGCTTCCATTTCTCCTCTGTTGGTTCATACATTCGTTCAACTATAGATACTCTACCAATATGGACTCAGAATCCAGTTTGATTGATTTTAATGATATGTGCATTAACAGTTATTTGTTTTTATCAACTCCAGCTTTTAGTTATCATAGCATTTACACATTTCAGGTGTACAGTTCAGTCGTCTTTAGGAACTCGGAAGTGGGGAAGTCATCATCATAATTCAGTTGAGATCATTTTCATCCTCCAGTTGGATTCCTCATGGCTATTTATGTTAAACCTCATTCTCACCCCAAATTTAGAGCAACTATTAACCTACTTTCTTTATATATTTGTCTACTCCAGACATTTCCTATAAAAGGAATCATAGGGTCTGTCGGTTCTTGTGACTTGCTTCTTTAACTTACTGTAATGTTTTCAAGGTTCATGGGTGTTGTAGCATGGGTCAGTATTTCATACCTTTATGTTTCCAAGTAAGATTCCACTGTATGAATATGCCACAATTTTTCTATCCATTTACCCGTAGGAGGGCTTCTTGGCTGGGTGCAGTTTGGGGTTAGTATGAATAATGCTCTGTGAGCGTTCATGTGATACTTGACAATATGAGTCCTTCTTGGTGAGTGGCATCCCTGAGCACCCTTTCGTGTCTCTTTTTTCTGTCTTCCATGGCACTTCCCAGGCACAATTCTGCTTTCTCTCGAAGTGCATCATTCAGGACTCTGCAAATTCCCTGAAGTAGGAGGAAAAATGACCACGTCCAAGGTGAGTAGGGTTTGCCTCTCTTACGGTTGAAATTCCATCTCACTGCTCAGATTGTCATGTTTTTCTCTGCCCTGGGAGTACTCAAGAGAACAACAGGACGCTGAGGATCTCTTGTCCTCTGGCTGATTTTTGTATTATTAGTAGAGATGAGGTTTCATCATATTGGCCAGGCTGGTCTTGAACTTCTGACCTCAAGTAATCTGCGTACCTCGGCCTCCCAAAGTGCTGGGATTACAGGCATGAGCCACCGTGCCCGGCCAGAAAGCCTTCATTTAAAATGTCTAATAATACTGATAATTGGCCAGTCACTTGTGTACCGTCACTCATTTACGTCTCAGAGCAGCAAAATGAAGAGGTTTCTGGTCTGTTCTTCTTCTAAACTCATGAAATATAAGAAACGTACTCAAAATCATGAGGGCAATCAAGGATCAGGAAAGTTAGCCGTTCTTCTCAAGCGAAAGAGAGAGGCGAGAAGAAAGAATTCTCGATTGAGGGCCCTGTGCCCTGTTGTGTGGGTGTCTGGAGTGCTTTCTTGAGTGATGAAATCCACAGGCTGCTCTACCCCTCCCTGTCCTGCATTGGTGTGACCTCTTCTTTTCCAGACCTGGCACCTACTCAGGTGTACCCATTGCTCCAAGTACTCAAGGACAGTGATTACCACAGCTGTTCTTAAAAATCTTTAAATTCCTCCTTAAGGCACAAGATGCCTCATACACTGTTACCAAGAAAAATGACAACCTGGGGCAAAAACATTTACCCCTTGGATAGTTAAGGAAGAATAAGAAGCTTCTACAGGATAAAGAAAAAAGTTCAACAGATTGGAACAAAGAACACTAAATGGCAATAGAAATAGAGATGGCCAATAACCTTGAAAAGTGGTGACATTCATTTACAATAATAAGTGAGAATACTGGAGTGAATTGTTCTTCCTAATCAGATTACCAAAACCATGGGAATATTTATAACCTGCTAAGGAGAATTAGGATGTTTATATTCCATTGAAAGATTAAAGAGGTAGGGAAAAAGGTGAGAAGAAAGTGTTCAATTCTATGATTATGATATTAAATGTACTTATTTTACACATTTTAATTTTCATGAAATTCTTTTAAATGATCGAGGAGAGTCAGATGTTCTTACCTCTTACTACTTACTATATCATCTTTGTAAGAGTGATAATCGGAAATATATAAAATTAAATATTAATTATTTAGTGTAGCTAAAAGTAGATCATCAGTTCCCTGGGATACTATGCAGCCATGAAATAGATAATGGTAATAACAGTAATAAGTAATACCAGCTCATGTTCATTAAACACTTAGTCTGTGCCATAGACTTTTCAAAATATTGTGTATTTCCTTGTTTAATTCTTGAAAAAAACTCTGTCATGTAAGAACCATTATTCAGAGAGGGAACAAGACTTGTAGGCAAACATTCCGGGGGCACATGGTTAGAAGTGGGCAGACTCTTAGGATGTGCACTGAGGCATTCTGGCTTCTGGTCAGGACACTAAATGCTGCAATTGGCACATATGGTTTGTGCCTTGTGAGTACAGAAGACACACTACATAGCTGTCTCACACAGGGTACCACGTGTGAGGCTCACTGTGCACTGATTACCAGCTCATGTGAGTCCTGTGGGACAGACACACTCACGTGCAACAGATTACATGAAGCAAATTTATTACTACAGGTTGGCAGCAGGGGAGTCCAGAATCCTAGGGTCCACTGTGAGCTGGCCATCCAGGGCTCAAGAAAGCTACCTGGAGCAGATGGAATCTTGACTGTATGTACCCCACTTGCACCAGAGCTGAGGCACCCCAGAAGGTAACCTGCCCCTGTGTATATACTTCAGGGTGTCATGAGTCCTGGAAAAAACTTGAAGGACATCCTGCTTCCAGGGGAGAGAGATACAAAGCCCAGGCTGTCAAAGGCAGTTCCTCCCCATAATATTGCATTCCTAGAATAATCTACAGGTATTCTTGAGAACTACAAGCAAGAAAGGGGAGAAAACTGGGTGGGGTCTGCACCCCAACTGTCCTGCAGTCCATCCCTGACCCAGATGTCCCCCTTAGCAAACTACTCCATTTCATATGCCCATCAACCTCCTGAGGTCTGGAGGTGTTGATGGATCTTGTTAGATCAGTGTAACACCTTGACCGAAACAGTCTCAGTCGACTTCGTAGAGTTAAAGCTGGAATACATTCAGTGGACCCCAGAGGAGCATGATTACAAGCAGCACAGCCAGACCTTCCTGAAGCCGTGATCCTGCCTGGGTCCCTAAGACCCATAAGAAGCTGCTAAAGATATCAAAGAAGAATCATTCACGTGGCCCCCGGTGTCTGAAGTCAGGCCTGCTTCTGGGTTGCCTCTCATTGTGTTTTTATAATAGCTGTTTATCCAGAGAAAGCCGGAGATGTTGACAGTCACAGGCAGTCGCAGATCCACTACTCCCGGCAGGGCTGAAAGCAAGGAACACTTGTGTTTTTTCAACCTTCCCACGGGAGTGAAGGGATGTTGCTGGGCTCCCAAGGCAGTGGCCATAGAGGAAGCAGTATTGGCCATTGTCTCTAACAGGTGTCTCATCATTTTTCATGGGAATTGACTCATAGGAGTAGGACATAAACCTGGAGCTAGCTACACCTCCAGGCAGGTCCCCCAGTCAGCCTGGGGCACAGCTTTAGCCTTCTGGTCCAGTGGTACATCTCACTCCCGGGGTGGTATCTATGGGTACCCCCAGCATGCCCAGTGTTTAGGATCTAACAGTCTGCCAGCTTTCCAGGCATGACGTCGCCCACCCTGTATTTAGGTCACCCTCCAGACCAGCCATAGAGAAAGCCATAGGCTCAGGTGCACACAGCACATATTCCCTTGTTTGGCTGTTCTGTGACCCATTCATGGGAATGGGTACATTATGTTCTGCCAGCGAGATCTCCTTTTTGGCACGGTCGCATAAGCTCAGTTCCTCCGTATGATGTTCATGCAGCCCTTACAGAGAGGAATATCACTCATCTAGTCCTGGTTTTAATTATGTGAAACATTGCTCATCCTGGTAGTCAAAGGAACATCGTGTGAGAAAGCAGTCCACTGTTGCTTTCTGGAGGTCGTGTGATTCTGCTGCCTTGCACCAGTTACCACAGGGCCCTCCAGCTCGCTCTCATGTGGCAGGTGCCGGGTCCTGACTTGACAAGCCAGGGCTTTGGAGCTGCTGCTGTGCACTGTGGCGTGAGGGAGGCTGGTGTGGTTTACTATGGTTAGGACAAGAGGGTCGCTGTGGTTGCCGACCGAACAAATCCAGGTAGCAGATGGAACACTTAGCTGGGTGACACGAGGTGTCTGCAGCTTGAGATAACTTAAGGAACGTGCTGTGCTTCCAGGCCTCTGCTGCCACATCCCTGGGGGAACGGCAGATTGGTAGCTGTTGGATAGGGGGTGGGCTGAGGTGGTGCAGCGACCCAGTCCATCTGTCCCTGTTCTGAGACTGCTGCTACTGCAGACATCCATTCTTCTGGTTGTTTGGCCCAGACCTTCCTGCATCGTTGTTCAGTCAGGAAGGGAGGTCATGTTCTGCATGAAAAGATATTCCTGCTAGTGCCAACCACCCACATGAGAGGATCAGGTGTCCCCAGCACCACCAAAGGGCTTTGCCACCCCCTACGGTATTCCATTGTCTCATTCTTCACCACTGTGGGATCCCACAGAAGTCAGGGGATGTTCAGGGAAGCATCTCCTCCAGATTACAGTCAGGAGGACCTTTGTCAGTTACCGCAGTGATCTGAGCCACCAACCACCAACAGGATGTGCACTGTAAAGGGGAGAAGGAAAAGTAATTATTGGGAAACTGGGGTTTCACAGGCACAGCCGCATCAGCCAGCTGCCAGGCAGGGCAGATACTGACTGAATTCCTCACTGTTGCTGGGACAATTAGCAAGGTTCATTGAAATCTATATACATGTCACCCAGGATGCAGCATTTAGACTTCTAGGGGGCTACATACAAGTACACTCAATGAGTGCGCTAATAAGAACACAGGACTTCTTCATCGTTGGACTTCTGATGACGCTTGGGACAATCAAGGTGTGTCATTGTCAGGACACAGGCCAGAATGAATGGAAATTCTCTAAGTTGTCCCACATCTCTGAAGATCCAGAAAAACTTTCAATTTTTCCCCTTGGCCTGCACAGTGTTGCTTCTCTCCCAGTAACCATTGGTCATGACATTGAGGTTGCATATGTTTGATGCTGTAGGAGGCAGTGACCTTTAAGGATGTGGCTGTGGTCTTTACTGAGGAGGAGCTGGGGCTGCTGGACCCTGCCCAGAGGAGGCTGTACCGAGATGTGATGCTGGAAAACTTCAGGAACCTGCTCTCAGTGGGTGAGGACAAGCATTTTCTATAAGGGAATGTCAGGCCTCAGGAGTGGCTTTTTATCCTAGGGTGTTCCAGTTTGAGTGTGCAGTGGGAACCTAAATGTCCCGTAAATGGTACCCCGATATTACCTAGAATATGTTGGGATTAAGCACATGACTTTGCCTGTTCACAGGGCATCAACCATTCAACCGAGATACTTTCTACTTTCTAAGGGAGGAAAAGTTTTGGATGATGGATATAGCAACCCAGAGAGAAGGGAATTCAGGTAAGAAACAAGCAACTGTGTGTTTTTGTTTGTGACTTCCATCTGTTTTACTTCTGTGCAGGTCCAGCTTCTTTACCTTGTTCTACATGGCAAGCATCTTTCCTGGGTTGTTGTAACCTCCTTTCAGCTGGTGGCCCTGCTTCGTGCCTTCCCACCCTGACATCTGTTCTCCTCATGGTGGCTAAAGTGATCCTTAGGACATGGAAGTCAGATTGCCATTCCTCAGCCTAAGAGCCTTTCTGGCTTCTTAATTTTTATAAAAGTTACAGCCTCTTTAGTGGATTTTAGAAACCCCTGCGGTCTCCTCTTCACTCTTCATGCCTCTTCACTATACCTCTCATACTCTCCCTCTTTCTCCATCTTTTCTGGCCACATCGTAATCCCTCTTGTTTCTCCATCCTGCCAAGGACACTGTATCACCTGTTGCTGGTACCCAGTGACCACAAATTTAGCCGATTAAACAAGAAGTATTTAGTGTTTCTCTGTTTTCTAGGCTTGAAGTCTGACACATCTCACTGGGCAAAAATCAAGCTGTCTTAGGGCTTTGTTCCTTTCTGGCTGTTCTTGGGAAGAAGACTTCACTTTGTTTTACCAGTCCGTAGACACTGTCCACCCTCCTTGGCTCTAGTTTCCCTTCCTCCATCTTCGACGGCAGCTATAGTGCATCCTTGCCCATCTTTCATAGTCACGCTCCCTCTGCCACTCTTATGCCTCCATCTTCCACTTTTCAGGTCCCTTGTGATTGTATTCATCTCTTGCATGATCCAAGTTGACTTTCCTACTTTCTTAGCTGACTAGTGACCTCAATGATAGCTGCAGCCTTAATCTGCCTTGCTGTGTAATGTATCCGGTTCATGGGTCCTGAAGATTGGATGTGGACATCTTTCCGGAATCATTATTTCCCTACTACAGAAGATCTGCCTCAGAGCCCTCACTTGCTTTTCTCTCTGTTTGGAACCCTCTGTCCCCACAAAACTTACTGACCCCCTCTGTTAGTTTATGCAGGGCTCTGCTGAGTTTTAATGTCATGGGAGAGGTCATCTTCAAGCACCCTGTTGAAAATACCATCTTTTCTTTACTTGGCCTGCATGGATTGTATGTCTTGCTTTTATTTACTGGTAGATCACTCTTCCCTTTCAAATATAATCTCTGTGTGGTGTTTGTTTGTTTATCACTGCATCTTCAGCTCCTAGAATAGTCCTGGTACATGGAAGGATCTGTATATATTTGTCTGTTGGAAGCCACAGGGATTTGATTTCAGGACCCCACATGGACCCCAAAAGCCAGAGACACTCAAGTTTATATACGTGAAATATTTGCTAGAACCTGTGTACATCCTCCCGTATACTTTAAATCATGTCTGGACAGTTTTAACACCAAATGCAATGCCTGCCTGTCTCTTTACCCACAAGGAATCAACATAGGACTCAGCGTGTAAGAAATTCCAGTTTTTCTGTTTGGAACTGGATTTTTTTCCCCAAATAATTTGTGATGCATTGTTGGCTGAATCCATGGATGCCAAACCCATTGATACGGAGGGCTGGTTATATACTGTAGAACAGTTGGCTTTTGCTGCTTATCCATTTTCAAGTTTTTTCTTAGGTTTCCTTGACATGATTGGTTTTTTGATTTGTTTTGTTTTTAAAATAACCTTTACTTTTAAAAAGTTAAGTTCATTAGAGGAAACTGAAAAACACAAGAAGCAAAGAGCAAAGTCACCATCACAAGCAGTTTATAGTTTGACACATTCTTCTAGGTCCTGTGTGTCTGTAGGCACAACATCCAATTTTATGGGACTGAGATTGTATAGTATGTTTCATGATTTTTCACACAGACATGATTGGTTTTATGTGTGTGCAGTTGACCCGTGTCCTGTGGAAACTTCTAAGCATAACATTTCGTTTTTCATGACCACACTGAGTAAATATGCCTTCCCTGGGACCTACCCTAGAGCTTTCCATAGGGGACATATTTATATCTGGGAAAAAAGTCTTATTGAATGAGGATTTCCAGCTAGCTTTCCTCTGAGAGATTTACCCATCTGCAGCCCATTTGCTTTTCCAAAGTCTGCATGTACTTCACTGTGCCCAGTTTCCTCCTTCCTTCCCTTAGAGGGAAAGAATGAGGATGAGAAGACACAAGTTATATAGCTGAATGTTGACTCTGTTTCTGGTCTTCTTCAAAAATGTGTGTATTTCCCTCACCTTTAAATTATACAAATTTAGTTGTCAAAAAATTAAAGGACACAGATTTTACAGACTTTTTCTTTATTTTTATAGATTTAATGCTATATTTTGAACTGGTAAGCTTCATGACCTGGAAGGAATTGGGGAATTACTTTCTCAAAGTAGAAACATCCTGAGAGACCTTCCCTTATCCTGAGAGACCTCTTATTTATGAGTCATAGTGTATTAAATATATCCATTTACAGATGAGACTGGATTGTTCCCTTGACTGTCTTTGTGGGTGGTAACCAGAGGGTTTGTTTCACTCAGCCCACTCCGTGCGGGGAAGCAGTGTGCAAGTGAGCGAGTGCGGGAACTGGAGCAAATGAATGCTGGAATTGGCTGGTTGCTCCTGTCTGGTGGGAGCAGGCTCTGTGCAGGCCCACAGCAGCATCCAAGCATGTTACACAACCAGTATTCTTTCAGCTCTGCTGTCTGGGGAAGTGCCAGCCAGCTCAGTGGAGCATCAGGGTAGCAGCCCCTGCCCTCTTGGCACCTGGGTTCTTGTCCCACATCTAGGAAGAATCAGGTCACACCAACTGTGTAAAAGGTGATGAATGCAGAAGACTTTATTGAGTGGTGGTTGGCTCTTAGCAGAAAAGGAGGCTAGAAAGGGGGTGAGAAAGTGATCTGTTCTTGAGGCCCGGCCATCTCTAGCCGAGCCCCCTCTGAAGCCACACCATCTGAGTTTAGCCACATCCATCCATAGTTTCTGACACTCAGTTGCTTCTCTGCTTGCCACTTAGCCACTTGTACCCTCGCCGCTCAGCTGCTTGTGTTGCTCTGCCAGCAGAAATCTTTTGTGGGCACAGGATAGTGGCAAGGCAGGCCAAAGAAAGCAACATTTGGGAGGACATATGGGGTCATCTGTTTTCATTTAGGGCCAAGGTTTCAGGGTGGGGTTTGGCCGGGAGCCCAGCCCTTCTGTATCATGACTGTATACCAAAAGATACCCACCCACTTACCTATTAATATTTTCCAAGATTCAACCTTTGGAACTTAACTCTCCATCAGAAAAATTTATCTAATTCAGGATTTGGTAATATTTTGACAAAGTTTTGAACATTTTATGAGCATGAACCATAGTAAGAAACACCTTTTTAGTTTTCACCTGGACAGTTTTCATGCGTGTAGATGTAGATGAGTGACTTTAGCTGACATTTCATGTAACGACATCTTTCCTGCTTGAGTCCATGCTGTGATAATTTTCATTCTGGTTCCTTTTCGTAAATGTCTATCGCAGGTTTAACTTTATGTCAGCTCACTGATTTATAGTCTTGAATATAAAAGTTATAAAGGCCTCTTTATCTACATCATAGGCTTTCTTTTCATTCCAAGTGATTCTTCACATCTTTGATTGTTTGATCAGGAGCATCCCCCTTGGTGAACCCCTGAAAGGACAGCCTTTCAGAGTCCCCTCAGAACTGCAGTTGTCCCCTGTACTCTTTTGGATAACCAAGTTACTGTCTATATCAAAACAGAAAAATAAGGTTAAGTATTTTATATGTGTGTTATCCAAAATTCTTGTTCAGAAATACTTTCAATTTGTAGATATAAACACTCTAAGGTGTTTGATGTTTAGTATCATCAAGGGTTAAACTAAAAAGTTTAGTGGGACATTTTACACAGGACTGCTTTCATTTCACTCCCAAGTGCAAATTCGGGAGTTTCTCAAAACTACCTTCACATTCAATAATTTCCTAGAAAGACTCTCAGAACTCACTGGATGCATTTATTCTCACAGTTACTGATTTTTACAGGGAAAAGATGCATATTATAGTTAACCAAGGAAAAAAACAAATAAGACAAGAGTCCAGTGAAGTACCAAATGTGGATCTCCTATTGTATTCTCCCGGTAGAGTGGGGCATGTGACATACCCAAGATTAGCATATGACTTAGACACAGGGAACTACCAATCAGGGAAACTCAACTGAGTGCTGGGATCCAGAGTAATTATTGGGGCTCCGTTACATAGCCTTAATCGGTTGGTTGATTCCTGTGTGGTTATTTAATCTCTTGGTCCACTGGTTCCCTGGGACCTAAAGCCCCTCATTAAATTACCTTGTTATTTTTTCTGACATAGGGAATACCACTGCCATTTCCCATCCCTCAGAGCTGTGGTTAGTCACAACCCTAAATTACATTGTTTCACTATCAGCAGTTACCCAAAGTTTGCCCCCAAGCAAACAAAGAGACTCTCCTCAGGCGTGACCCTTCAAGATCCTAGTGATTACCTCCCAGATGCTGATGACAAAGTCCCAAACTCTATTTTTAAAAATGTTTTTTAAACCATCTAGTACTGAAAGGAAGTTTAACTTCTTTATAAGGATATACGATATACAGGCAAATATACAAAGTATTTATTGTTATTGTTTCCCTTACAATTCCTCGAGTACATATTTCATTATGTACATAGTAGTTTAGTAATTTATCATGTAAGACTTCAGACTGAGTTGGAAAATTTTAAAAATAGTAGCAGGTTAAATGTGTATGTCATTTTAATTTTTCATTAAAATTTTTATTTCTTTCTACTGAAGTGTGGCCAGGTGTATTCCACTTGCTATGGATCTAAAAAAAATTTTTTTTTATTTCTATCAAGGATTTTATATTTGAGACATGGTGCAGTATGGTTTTTTCTTCTTTTTTTTTTTTTTTTTTTTTGTTTTTTTTTTGAGACAGAGTCTCGCTTTGTCACCCAGGCTGGAGTCAGTGGCATGATCTCGGCTCACTGGAACCTGCACCTCCTGGGTTCAAGTGATTCTCCTGCCTCAGCC